TTGAGTAGTGATGACATTTCGACAAACATTGTAGGTTATTTCTTATAGACCTACCTATACCAATAGGTATAGTTGTTACGATGTCAATTGGAACCTGTAAATCTTAAAGCACAGGACAGTATGCACTTCTGAAATTTCTTCCTATGCTTTGACCATGATGTATCTTGTAATTTATACTCGAATAGCAATTCGGCGAGTCCCATATTGGTAAACTAGTCCGCCTGATGTAGAATTGACGGTGACGCGCTGGTCATCAAAGCAAACTTGTATTGGTCCACTAGGCCGTAAATCATTTTTTTGTAATGTACACGGGTTCACTTAGCTTTGCCGCTTTGCCAGTGCCGTGCAGAGCATTGCTTGGCGGGGTATGTTGTTGGTATAATACGTATTATTATTTATTAGTTGAAATTTGTTCATATCGTAACCAGTAAAGGGTAAGTTATTAAAATAAATGTTATATGTAATTGTCTAATAATTTAGCGTGGCTCTCTGGAGACTTTGAAGCGGATGATAACGAAATAACTCGGAGAAAATCCCCAAATAATGGAACCGGTTTTTGTTGAAAGTATCAGAGTTTAAAAACAAAGATTGACAAGTAAAAAGTTAATGTATTATATTAAATATATATGAATGTTTGAAAATTGAAAATAGTGAACAATATGATAGAAAAGTTAGGAAACGAATTAACTACAATATCAAAAACGACAATTTATCGTGTAATTAAAGGATTGATGATGGTACAAAGAGGAAACGGAAAAATACAAAATTAAAGAAAATTGACGATTTTACCAGATGTACTGCGGCGCACAATTTATAATATGTATAAGGAAAATAAAGTTCCTACTTTAAACACGATTCAAGATAGATTAAGCGATTATCCTGATTATAATTAAATCTTTAGATAGTTTCCGACATGCTTTATTACTATGCGAGTTTAAACATAAAAAAATTTGACAATCGTATGGGGACTATATGGTAATATAGCTTGGAATATAGTATATCTAGACGAGACAGGTTTAAATTTTTCAAGAATTTATGAGTTAAATGTTTTTATGTGGTTCCAGTGGAGATCGTAACAACTATACAAAGTAATGCTTTGTGCCAGTAGGCATCGAAAGCAATGACATTTGTAGGTTATACTTTACAGAATAACCTACCAGTAGGTACAAAGTAATGGTTTATGCCAGTAGGCGTCGAAAGAAATGACAATTGTAGGTTATACCTTACAGAGCAACCTACCGGTAGATACAAAGTAAGGGTTTATGCCAGTAGGTGTTAGATAGCAATGACATTTGTAGGTTATATCTTACATAGTAACCTACCAGTAGGTACAAAGTAATGGTTTATACCAGTAGGCGTCGAAAGCAATGACATTTGTAGGTTATACCTTACAGAGTAACCTACCAGTAGGTATAAAGTAACAGTTTATACCAATAGGTGTTAGATAGCAGTGATATTTATAGAATATATCTTACATAGTAACCTACCAGTAGGTACAAAGTAACGGTATATGCCAGTAGGCATTAGGTATCAACTCACTGTTGCAATTTTTCATTCCTACAGTACCGTCAGTACCGTGAGCTCTTCAAGCTGAATCAATAAATTTTTCTTCAACTGCATATTTACGAATTTACCTTATTACACTTTGTGCACATATAAAAGAACCGTTCGGGTTCAAAACGAAAGGGACAGTGCATATAAACGTCTTGCCATTTGCAATGGCCGACTCGGAACAAAACAACTGCTATCCTGAAATCTAACGTACAGTGAAACAAGCAATAACTATAATTAACTCTCTCTTCTCATTTTATTTAATAACATACCAGTAATGTCAATAAAAAAATCGTTACAATAAAAATATATAATACAACTATGTACAAATTCAATGGCAGTTATGAGCTATTTATCTAAAAATGCAAATGAATGAAACCAGAAAGAACACATTTAACCTGTTCACATTGTAGAAACTCAAAAGAAAACAGAGCGACTCGACTCGAAAACGTTTGGATAAGGGACACGACATTAAAACAAAGTCGTCGACGTAACACTTTGGCGAGATACTAGATGGCGACTATCTCATAACGTCCCCGTCACTTTCAATAAAGATGACAGGGTTTTGTGAGAGTCGCCATCTAGTGTTTTCATTTCTAAGTTTGACTGATTGTGGAACTGTATTACATGTATACAGGGTGTCTGTTAAAGAATGGGCCACTAGATTCTATGACGAAAATTAATGGGGAAAACTCATATGCAATGTTGCTCATAAACGCTTAGTTTTCGAGATACAGGGTGTTGAAGTGGAAAAATAAAAATGAATTTTAGATACGTTAACGAAATTTGTTCTAATTTGATATGAGGAGTTTTAACGAAGACCTACATCATTTGCAGCGATTTCACGTCAATACAAAAAACCGGTGTTGTGCAAACTATATTTTCGACTCATTTCTAAAAAATAAATGTTACGCCACTGCATAAAGCGAAAATAAATAACATTTTTCAAATTTTTAATGATTTTTCAGCATAAAAGTACTTGTTCTACATCGCTGAGACAGTTTTTAAAAAAAATGTGTTTAAAATCGGAAAGGAAGTGCAGTGGCATAACATTTATTTTTTAGAAGAGGGTCTTGAAAATAAAGTTTGCACGCTACTGGTTTTTTATATTGACATGAAATCGCAGCAATGATGTAGGTCCTCATGTCAAATTAGAAAAAATTCCCATAATGTATCTCCGATATGCCTGAAAATGGTTTTTATTTTTTAATTTCAACATCCTGTATCTCGAAAACCAACCCCATTAATTTTCATCATAGAATGTAGTGGTAAAATTTGTCTCATTCTTTAATGAACACCCGGTATAAACAAGGAGGTAATGCTTAAATACTGTATTAAGTATTTGACGATTTAAAAAAAATGTTCCATTAAAATGCACTGATATTGCATTGTTAGACTTTGTTGGCAATAGATTCAGCTTACATTTCGAAATAAAAATGAACGGCTTCAGTATTGCTAGTAGGTACTAAAAAAAATTTATTCAGCCAAAAACCGGCCCTCATTTGTTTTCTGATAGAGCTGTTACATTATTAAAAAAGATTCAACGAAAATGATATGTTTCATATTAACTTCAACGGAGCGGGTAAAAAATATTTGATGGGAGTGACAACAATTCTGCGTCTATTTTAACCAGGGTTTTGAAGTGGCAGTTAAGTATTGGAAATGTCAAATTGGCACACTAAAAAAAACTATACTTCAGATATGACATTCACTTATTGTACTCGCTAAAGTTTGTCCCAAAGATGTAGCTTGCAAACAATCACTATCACTATACAGGGTGATTCGCAACTTATCCAAAAATATTTGAGAATACATGCTTCATGAAAAATGGAGTCATCGTAAAAAAAATTTTTGTAAAATCCTTATAGTTCTGAAAAAAAATTATTGAAGTTGTAGTATTTTCAACCTTTACATTGCTGGGCTACTATAGTTTCTAGCATGTGCGCATTGCGCTCTCTCTCCACATGGCCCCAGGCGATTACGAATAGTGAAATCCGATTTTATTATTATCGTTGTGATAGTGTTTACATTAGTTTTTCAAGTGTTAAAAATGGTTTACATGTACAGCAACTCGGAGTTGATGGATATTGTTTTAATTTATGGTCAAGCAACACAACATTTGTGTTAATTCGTAGAAACAAAAATGTATTTGTAAGTGTCCTCTGTACATTTAAATTTTTTTTGTTGAAGTTCTGAATCTCCCTGTATATTGATGGAAAAACTGATCAGATTTAATTAGGATCGCCACCTGTGAAGTCTATTTGGGTCGGTAACTTGGAAATAAAATTAAAATGAATAACATTGTGACATCTTTACGATACGATGGTTTTTTCGGACAACAGTACAGCGATACCGCTGACGAAGGCGAGATCACCCCCACCATCCTACTGCGGAGGCATGACCCCATTCCACACGATTAGACTCGCGTGGCGCACTATTGGCACGCGGCGATGTAAGAAATTGCATCGCACGTCATCAACGTGTAGAAACGTCGTAGTTTCTTTAGAGTTCCTATATTAGAAAATAATTAATGTATCTCTTCCGCTTAATAAAATAACTGCGTCAACAGCTGTTCCTTCTAAAAAAAAAACTACTAGCTATCATATAACTTTTTTAATTTATCACAACACATTGTCCTAATCCACGATNGTGATTTGCAACTTATCCAAAAAAATTTGAGAATACATGCGTCATGAAAAATGGAGTTATCGTAAAAAAAATTTTTGTAAAAACCTTAGTTCTGAAAAAAAAATTATTGAAGTTGTAGTATTTTCAACCTTTACATTGCTGGGCTACTATAGTTTCTAGCATGTGCGCATTGCGCTCTCTCTCCACATGGCCCCAGGCGATTTCGAATAGTGAAATCCGATTATATTATTATCATTGTGATAGTGTTTACATTAGTTTTTCAAGTGTTAAAAATGGTTTACATGTACAGCAACTCGGAGTTGATGGATATCGTTTTAATTTATGGTCAAGCAACACAACATTTGTGTTAATTGTATTTGTAAGTGTCCTCTGTACATTTAATTTTTTTTTGTTGAAGTTCTGAATCTCCCTGTATATTGATGGATAAACTGATTTAATTAGGATCGCCACCTGTGCAGTCTATTTGGGTCGGTCACTTGGAAATAAAATTAAAATGAATAACATTGTGACATCTTTACGATACGATGGTTTTTTCGGACAACAGTACAGCGATACCGCTGACGAAGGCGAGATCACCCCCACCATCCTACTGCGGAGGCATGACCCCATTCCACACGATTAGACTCGCGTGGCGCACTATTGGCACGCGGCAATGTAAGAAATTGCATCGCACGTCATCAACGTGTAGAAACGTCGTAGTTTCTTTAGAGTTCCTATATTAGAAAATAATTAATGTATCTCTTCCGCTTAATAAAATAACTGCGTCAACAGCTGTTCCTTCTAAAAAAAAAACTACTAGCTATCATATAACTTTTTTAATTTATCACAACACATTGTCCTAATCCACGATCTTAGCTACGATTCACAATAACGTCAAAATTTTGCCGGAAAAATAAATCGTTTAAGGGGTTAAACATACTAGACCTTCCAAATAAATATCCACATAAAACGGAAACCCCTTGCTTTCCATCTATTGAATAATCGAATAAGTATTGTAACTGTAACTGAATTAAAATGGTAACTTTTTTTTAACTTATAAAAAAAGTAAAAAAAAAATCATGATGTACTTATTATTACACTAACAAAACAACATTCTCGACAAACGACACTCGTTTGTGCTTAATGAAAAGTGTCGCTTAAGTTGCCAGCGCTGAAAACATTAATGTGTTAATACTGTGTATCTACCCTACAACACTCTACGTGTTGTACACAATTAACCTTAAAATTCAGTTTAGAACATGACGAAAGGGATCGGCATTAGTTTAAGAGGAAAAATAAGCAAACGAATCGATGCCGTTCGCTTACTTCGGTAAAATCAGCGTTTGGGATAAGAAAAATGGAAATTTTAAATTCCTGGGATAAGTGCTTTGGGAATATTGGAACAAATTTATTCCTATACGGAGTGTCCAGAAATAGTGAGCTACAAATTTTACAGTCGTAAAAATAACTCGACATTGACAAAGTTGCATAAATTTTTTTAATTAAAATATGGTTAGAATTTTTTTCGTCATGCGATTTTTTTCAAATTTAACACGTTTATTATTGGTGGCAAACAGCATTTATGAGAAAAAGAGCATCAAAATTCTGTAACAAAATATTTATCATAACTTTTTTCATTTGATTTTTCAAAAAACTAAGCACCTTAATATTGACGGTCATTAAAAAATGTTACAGAAAGATTCTTTAGATATAATTAAGTAGAATTTAACTGGTACCGAGAAAAAATCAATATTTGGAGACCAGCCTAAAAATTCAAAATTCTAATCTTTCAGTACATTTTTTGATGGAAAAGTGCAACGATACATCTGTTCTCACTTTCAATCTGCAAAATGCAACATACTTGCACACAAAAACAGGCATTTTTCTCAATGTTAAAAAGCCTTCGATAGCCTTTTGTACAAGTTACAAGTTTTAAACACTCCGGACAATACATCTGATCAGGAGAGATTTCTTGAAAACCGAAAAGAATGAAAAGTAAATAATGGCCATTCCGAAAGATTTACATTGGTGCGAGGAACAAAAAAAAAGTCTGCAGCCCATATCTTCCACAATTTTCACGTATGTCAGCAATGTATATTGAATTCCTTATAATGCATTTTGGACTGCGAAATGAACTTTTCCACAAGTTGAAAGTTTTAGAGACAGAAAATTTCTTGAAAACAGAAAAATATGGATAAAAGTAAATAATAGCTTGAAAGATTTACAGTGGAACATAAATAAAATGTACTATTTATAACATGCAAATGAGCAATATAGCTCCCAACAAAAATTTTCGCTAATTTAGAATCGTCCATATTTCGTACTGAATACCGATTAAACAAATTAAGGCTACAACTGAATCCCATTAAATCTCAATTTACAATTTTTAATCGTGCACTGAAGTCCCCATCTCCAACGATTTCCTTGGCCCGTCACACACTTACATCGACAATGGATGTCGAATACTTTGAAATGCACTTGGACAACGAAATGACCTTCGCGCAAGTTGAAAGATTTATAGACACAGAAAATTTCTTGAAAGCAGAAAAATATGGATAAAAGTAAATAATAGCTTCGAAAGATTTACACTAGAAGGAAAATAAAATATACTATTTATAACATGCAAATGACGCAGCAATCTAGCCCCCAACAAAAATTTTCGCTGATTTACGATCGTTCATATCTCATACTGAATACCAGTCAAACAAATGAAGGCTAGAACTGAATTCCATTAAATCTCAACTTACAATTTTTAATCGTGCACTGAAGTCCGTGTTTCCAACGATTTTTACGTCCATAATGGATGTCGAATACTTCGGAATGTATTTTGGACCATGAAATGAACTTTTGCACAAGTTGAAGGTTTTAGAGACAGAAAATTTCTTGAAAACGGCAAAATACAGATAACAGTAAATAAATGACGCAGCAATCTCATATCTCGTACTGAATACCAGTTAAACAAATGAAGGCTACAACTGAATCCCATTAAATCTCAATTTACCATTTTTAATATGTCGAATACTTACGAATGCATTTTGGACTACAAAATGAACCGGCAAGTACATACTTGAATTGATTAAGGAACGGATCAGTCAAGAGTCAAAAACTGCAAAAAAACGACTTAAAAAAACAAATAACAATCCAGATTTGAGGCAGCTGTTTGAGGGTAAAAATAAAATCCAATCTAGTGCTATGGAAGGCTCGAGAAACGAGAATAAATAAGCATAAACGCAAAGGGACCGGCAAATTTGAGTCCTGCATGATAAAATTGTTGTAAAATTAAGAAATGTGAGATTTTTAATGTTTTTTGATAAGTTGCAACTAAAATTTTGAAAAATCCAAGAAAATTTGAACGGGAAACATAATCATAAAGCATTTAGTGCAATTTTTTTAAACACGTTAATATCTTGTTACTGATTTGAAACAGAATGTTTTTGTAAAATTTACTAAAGATTTGGCTATTCTGCAAAATTAAAACAAAAATGTAAAATAACAGTTACAATCAATTTTCTAGCCAATAAGTGTCATCTAAAACCTGCAAGGCTTCAGAATTCTGGTGTAGTATTTTTCTTAGGTGCAGTTTCTTACCAATGACATGTATAACAAATTGGAAAAAAATCGCTTCACTGAAAAAAAAGTAATGACATCGTAATGGAAAAACTTACTTTGAGTAAAACGACTCCCTAAATTCCTCGGTTGCACCTCCCGGACACCCTGCATAGCTATCGAAGGAAACGACGTACAACGAGATACTTTACGTCAAAAAAATACATATATTTAAGGTTAGTTGCGACACATACACGGTACATTTGGCGAGACGGATACAACAACACCCAGTAGTTCCTAGACCTCGAGCTAACAAGGAAATGTATTATCTCTGCATGAAACAGCCGAACAGGCGACGGCAAATGTGATGAAGGATGTACTTGGACGAAGATGTTCCTCGATTTTCTGTATTGACTTCTAGTATGTTGACGTCTGGTTACTTCCTCGGCGAGAACCGGGGATTGGTGGGCGCGTGCGTGAAGCTGCGCAACTCGTAGCTCATGTCTATCCCGTGAGCCGTCGCGGTGTCCATGTCGCACTTGCGGAAAATTATCATCCTTATGTCGCTGTGCAGGTATATCTTACCCGATTTTGAACTCATAAATCTGAAAAATATAATGTACTGTAACAAAAGCAACAAAGAAATGAAAAAAAAAAAAATTACTTTGGCAACAATGCACCCAAAAACGTCGAATTACCTTAAATGAATTAAATATCTCAGCCACTTTGGGCCCCATTCCAGGTTGGTGTCCTTGCAATTCGTAGGCATGTATAGGGTGCGTTGGCGGATGAACGTTTGCGAATTTGGCGGCATATCAGAGAGATCATACATGATGACGAACATCTTCACGACAGTTCGCAGGGGATTGAATAACGTCACCTGCACCGTTCCCGACTTTGGAACATTATAACCCTTCTTTCCGAGGTTTATATGTCCCTAAAACGAAAGCGTTATAAGACTGTTCGAAAACAAGGCGATGCGCTTAACCATTACCACCTGTTATAAAGCCTCAACGCTCCGCCTATGACGTAATTAATCTTTACTTTACTTTAAAAAGTATTAAACAAATTCAAAATTCAAAATATTTTCAAAGACGGCACTCGAAACAGTAATCCTAAATAAAACGCAGAAATAGTAATGTCTTACCTGTCGTAGCTAATTTTGCTTATAGTCCCGGCGGTATCTGTTTCGGGTTGGGTATACGCATATGATCGGAGATTTTTGCTTTAACGGCTTCTAAATAACATCCGAAATTATAATTTTTCTATGCAAATAGAAAAAAACATGGGCTTAATTGTTATTGCAAAAAAGTATAGAAAAATGGCAAAAAAAACTTTTTTTTTTCTAGGATTTCTCGTCGACAACTTCGCAACTATTCGTTTTAGACAAAAATGGAAGAGGAAAGAAAGTTTTGTAATTAACTTTTGAACAAGATAGTCAGTTGTAATTCGAAAAAATTATTATTGTTATTGAAAAAATTGGAAAAATCATTTAAAAAATTGCAAAAAATGCTAGGTTAGTTCAAATTTTTTCAGACACTTGAATAATACCTAGGATCTTCGTACTTTTCCCAATTAAACTTCTTAGTGCATAGAATCATCACACCAAATTTCATCCAATTCGGTTCTATAGTTTTTACATAACAATTGTTAAAAATTTTTTTTAATTAAAAAATTTTCAAAATCAAATTTCTAAAAATCTAAAGCCTTTGAATACTTGAAAATTTCACCACAAAAAGAAGAGCTCTCAAGCTTTAAAATGCTTTTTGAAAAATTCAAATCGGATGTAATAATTTAATATTTAAAAAAAAAATTTTTTTTATTTTAAAATATGTTTTGAAAGTACTCGGAAAGACGAGTATTTAAAAAAACCCTGATGATCCGCCCATTATTTTCAGAGTTATAGCTCGTTAAAGTTAACCCTTATTTACAGCAAAACTATAAGGATATAAGGGCTATTTTTTGAACTAATGGGTTTGTCATACAAGATATAAATTTTCAAAATTTGCAATCACCGGCGTCCCATTTAAAATGTCACTCAAAGATATTGAAGACCGCGTGAAATCAATGAAATATCAGTGGTGGAGGGAGCAAATGCACAGCTACTCCGATCTGAATTCACAAGTTCAAAAATCTTATCCTTTTTTATATAAATAAAAAATAAATTTTAGATAAATATTTTAAAAGTAAACGAAAAAATTAAAATTATAATTTTGCACAATTTATTTTTTTTGAAAGATTTTTAGAAATTTATCGTACAACTAGAAATTAATACCAATTTTCATTTGTTTATTTAAATAATTATTGTTTAAACAATTTTATAATATTTAAACAAACTTACTAGTATTACCTGGTGCAACATGCAAAAATTTTGGTCGTGAATATTAACATAGTAAATAAATAAACATAATAAATTAATCATTTTTTAAAGTAACTGTTTATCGGCATGTCAAAAGTCCAATAATTAATAATAAAAGGTAGTTGAAAATATGATAATTGAATTTTTTAAGTTGCGAGACATCGATTTAAAAAAAAATCATCGAAATTGGTCCATTAGAAGCTGAGATAAGTGAAATTTTTCCGAGCGTCGCAGTTTTGAACTCGAGAATTCAGATCGGAGTAGCTGTGTGTTTGCTCCCCCCACCACTGATACCTCATTGATTTCACGCGGTCTTGAATATCTTTGAGTGACATTTTAAATGGGACGCCCGTGATTGCAAATTTTGAAAATTTATATCTGGAAAGTACTCGGAATGACAAACCTATTAGTTCAAAAAACAGCCCTTATACCCTTATAGTTTTGCTGTAAATAAGGGTTAACTTTAACGGGCTATAACTCCGAAAATAATGGGCGGATCATCAGGTTTTTTTTTAAATACTCGTCTTTCCGAGTACTTTCAAACCATATTTTAAAATAAAAAAAAATTTAAAAAAACATTAAATTATTGCAATTGTTTATAAGCGTGAAAATTGCGAAAATGTTTAAACAATCACCACGGCTCACCTAATCGTCCGATTTGAATTTTTCAAAAAGCATTTTAAAGCTTGAGAGCTCTTCTTTTTGTGGTGAAATTTTCAAGTATTCAAAGGCTTTAGATTTTTAGAAATTTGATTTTGAAAATTCTTTAATTTAAAAAAAATAAAAAAAATTAAACAATTATTATGTAAAAACTATCGAACCGAATTGGCTGAAATTTGGTGTGATGATTCTACGCACTAAGAAGTTTAATTGGAAAAAGTATGAAGATCCTAGGTATTATTCAAGTGTCTGAAAAAAATTTACAAATAAACTAGCATTTTTTGCAATTTTTTAAATGATTTTTCCGATTTTGCAATAACGATAATTATTTTTCCGAATTGCAACTAGCTCTATCTTGATCAAAATTTAATTACAAAACTTTTTTCCTCTTCCATTTTTGTCTAAAATGAATAGTTGCTAAGTTGTCGACGAGAAATCCAAGAAAAAAAATGATTTTTTTTGCTATTTTTTTATACTTTTTTGCAATAACAATTAAACCCACGTTTTTTTTTACTTGCATAGAAAAATTATAATTTCTGATGTTACTTAGAAGGCGTTAAAGCAAAAATCTCCCATCATATGCGTTTTACCCAAGTATACCCGTTTTAAAACAGATACCGCCTGGACTATTACTGGCCTTTGTCAAGTATGTCAGAACAACAAAATACAAAATATTCCTTTTAAAACCTTAGAAAACAACTCAACAAATTTTTTTAATTGATATGAACATTTAAAATTACGTGCCACTGCTCACTATTTTTTAATAAATATTTTAAAACACAGCAGGTGGAAGACAGACTATTTTCAAACAGATATCGAAATGCACCTGCCTAACTAGGCCATTAACTCAAAACGAGCTGCTCGCCTAACCTCAAATGTTAATATTGTAATAAACACGTATCACACACACTGATTGTAAATAAAATTATTTAAGATTCTGTTTGATAGTATAATCAATATAATAATCCAGCAACGTTTCACGTTTTTGCTTTTTTACATTTTCAACAGCTTTAAACAAGTTTCGTGCTCGAATTCCCTCAAAAACATTTATCGTACAATGCTCTTCATTTGTTTTTGGTCGTACACACACACGATTCTATTTTTAACAGAATAACTAAAATGTGGAAATAGTAACATGTCGCTCCTACTTGTACGCTTATGACAGGCACTGACACGCTTCAACTGGAAACTAAGATAGGGAGATTTGCAGCCTCAGTTGTCTCTGTTTTTATACACGATAAGCAAAGGTAAAAACCATAGGAACACTATGCGAAATGAATGGCACATTACAGTAATAAATAAAATCATCTTTTAAGATTAAAACCTAGTAAAAATTACGGTTTGATTTATTTATGATATTAATAGGCGATGACGCTTCAGTTGAGGCTTTATATTATAGGCGGCGATGGTCAACTTACAAGATATGGAGACGAGACTTTATCGTTGTCGCCCAACGTATAAAAGAATACTGTAACTGGAACAGCGAGGTGTTTAGGTACGAAGGATCCGCTCGCACCCAACTCCGCTGTGAAACCGTGGACGGTAGAGACGGGTTCTAGACGGCCGTTTAAAACTGACTCCTCGAAGCTTCCTGTTGAAACAAACGCACAGCCTTTATAAACAAAATGATTACGCAAGTGAGCATTTTAAGTATTTAATTTTTTTTATTATTTAAGCTGTAAATGTTAATTTTACATTACACTGATGCCATAATCAGAATTCATAACCTAAAATTAAATTTATCCTAGTCAAAGGCCTGTGGGATTCATAGTTGTCATATGTAACTACAGCTATACTTGTATAGTTTTCCGTTGTGACATATAGCTGTGAAAAATTGATGACATAAAAATGAGAATAAAATGCAATATAACAGAATTAATATACATGTATTATTAAAAAAATTTTTAAACATGTCGTTTTAAAGTTTTGTCCCCTTGAAATGATAACTAAGGAGTGATAAGGTGATAAATATACAGGATGTTGAAATATTTGTCAGACAAAATTCTATAAACCATTGTTTGATAAAAACTAATAAAAAAAACACTATTTTTTAAGATACAGGAGAACAGTTTTATTATTTTTCTATTTTAGTTATTCTCATTCGCTTTATATTTTAGATACTCTATTAAAACTTGAAATTTTTGGGAATTTCGAAATATATGAATTGAATAGAAGAATTTCAAAAAAAACAACTTTTTTTTTATGATTACAACACTGATTCTTTTCTTATACTTTAAATTCTTTAATTTTATTCTTTTAGTGCCTAACTAGTTATTCATCACAATGTAATTATAAAGGTTCAGGTCTGGTGACCTAACGGGCTAGAAGGAAAAATCATTAGTACCAATCAGACTACCAAAAACGTGGTAAAAAAATTATAAAACTTTAGCAACCTATATCCCAAAGAATCATTGAATGACCTTGTCAGTAAAATATTGCAACACTCTGCATACAGAGTGTACCTTGAAGTGAGCAGGTCAGGTTTTTAGAGATAATAGCACATGTTCCCAAGTGCACCCATCAACTATTTTTTTTTAAACCAAATAATGAATTTTTTAAATCATTTAAAAGTATTTTTAACTATTTTTTTAAAGCACTGTGTTTAGTTTGTAAATCTCAGCATAGATGACATCCGTGATAGACCTAATTTGAACTATACAGGGTGACATAATAATAAAAGTATGGGAACCCCAAAAAATCTCGCGAGATATGCATTTTCCGGAAAAACCCAATAGGGAAACTCAGGATTTTTCCTTGGCTATTCAATGGTGACCATGCCATGACCACTGACCACGTGGTCATTATGGGATCAAAATGATTTTTTAAAATTTTTGACCCCGAAAATGGAGAGAAAATTTTCAGATATGACGATCAAGATAGCAGATGAAATTTTTTAAAGTTAAAACCGATTGTCACCAAATCGTGTATACGGAGGTTTTCGAGGTCGCTGATTACGAATCCGAGATCAGATTTAAAAAATCAAGATGGCGGATCAAATATGGCAGACAAATTTTTCGAAAATCAACCGATTTGCACCAAATGTGTTCGGGGGTTTTTGGGGTCGCTGATCACGAATCCGAGGTCAAATTTGCAAAATTCAAGATGGCGGACGAATTTTTTTGAATATCAGTCGATTTGCATCAAAGATGGTATACGGCCGTTTTTGAGGTTGCTGATCACAAATGTGGGGTCAGTGACCCCCAAAACCCCCGTATATCAAATTTGGTTCCCATTGATTTATTTAAAAAACACCATCTTGGATCCGCCATCTTGAATTTTGAAAATCTAACCTCGGATTCGTGATCAGCGACCTCTAAAACCTCCGTATACAAAATTTACTGTCAATCGGTTCTTTCAAAAATTTCGTCCGCCATCTTGATTTCGGCGCCATTTTGAAATTTTTGAAATGGTCAAGGTCATATCTGAGCGTAAAATTTTTTGCTCTTTCCATTCAAAAAGGGGGCTTCCCATTTAAAAAAATCGTCTTGATCCTATAATAACCACGTGGTCAGTGGTCATGGCATGATCATCATTGAATAGCCAGGGAAAAATCCTAACTTTCCCTATATTTGGTTTTTCCAGAAAATGCATATCCCGCGAGATTTTTTGGGGTTCCCATAACTTTTATGCCACCCTTTATATCAATCCACCTGATGGGATATGACAATCGAGCGCTAGGCAAGCAAAAAACAAATGGCCAACATAAATTTTACAAAGCGAAAATGAACGTCATCACTTTATTACATTTATTTTAGTTTTCAGTTTACCGGTTTATAAAGTAACATTGCAATTTTTTTATATGAAATATTAGTTTTTAATGGCATCAAAACAGAATTTTTATAGTACAGTGTTGTGTTTTATTAAGTTTAAGTTTAGAGTAAAATTTTAAGTGTTTTTTTATAAAGTAATTTATTTCAGTGTTTAGTGACAGTAGTGTGTTTATGTGTCTTCATTGTCAAATTTGATATGGAAAAACATGTGCATATACGAATTAAGAAAAATGAGATTTGGCAAGAATCAGTTTATATCAGCTTGACCAGAGGCGGGATATGAAAATTACTTGCAACAAAAGGTTTAAAAAAATATAAAAGAACTTACGTATTTCTACATGACAAACATGGCCTCCCTATAAATATGACCCCCACTCAAAGTTACACCCTGTCCAACATAGTGAAGAAAAAAATGAGCTAATGCGTTTGTTAAGAAAAAAAAATTGTAGTTAATTTTAATGAAATTATTTTATACAATTAAAAGACGTAAAAGTTATAAACCCATAACCAAATTTAATATTTTTTCCACGTTATGTCAAAAAACTATTTTCATTATGTTTTTTTATTTTTCCATTATATGAAAAGGTTATTATCAAATTGAGAGATACATTAGTCTCTTTCGTACATTTTAATAGCTTTTACTTTTTATTAAAAAATATTATTGGTGCATTTTGTTAAAAAAATTTCATTACGAAAACGGCAATTAACGATTTTAAACATAAAAACGCTCCACGTATGTCGCACGGCAACGTGTCTATAAGAAATAATAAAAAAAAGCAATTTTACTTTTCAAACAATAACATTAATAATAGAAGGGGAGGAAGAAGGGTTAAACCTATATTTGAATCGATTAGACGTTAATTAACTTGTACTTGTTCATTCAAGCAAACCGTCTCTGCAAAAATGGGGCACTCGGAAGTGCCCCACGGGAGAAAAAAATTTTATGAACACTTAATACCACAAACCTTGTGTCCTAAATCTAAGTACCATTTTTGATTAAAGAGTAAAATGCAAGTACGTACATCGGCGTCATCCAGACAACACGTAAGCTAGCAAAGTAGGTTCCCGATCAATCCCTAAGACCCGCATATGATTTACCAACCTAATAAGTTTGCTGCGTGTCCTTTTCTACGGTATTTGATGGGGGACACGTCGCTCTGGGGAAGGGCGTAGGTCTCTGGACTGCAAGGAGACACTATGCTTCCCTCGCTTTCGCTCTCGTCGTCTGTCGAAAAGCTGCTCGAGAACAAAGCACTGCAACGGGGAAAATTGTTGGAAAATTATAACGACACACAAAGTAAAAGAAGTGGTATGTCCCATAGACTTGACCCAATGGACTTTATGTATTTTGATGTATTGAATTCGAAACACCTCCAAAATTTTGAGTAACTCGTAAAAAATAGTGAAAAGTGCCGAAAATCACATTACTGAGCACAAAAAAAATTTTTAAAAATTGTTCTGAAATTAATCAAGTGGGTATTTTGATGTGCTGAATCCAAATCTGAAGTCTTTTAAGCGGTATCCCCCAAATTTTGCAGAAATTGCAAAATAGCAAAAAGTCACGAAAGATAGGGAAAAATCGCCTAAAATCACGTTAGTGATTTGAAAAGAATACAAAAAAGAATTTCTGACCTTGATCAAGTGTGTTTTTTATGTATTTTGATACACTGAATTCAAGTTTGAAGTCTATTAGCTGTATCCCCCTATAGTCCAGTGACTGAAGGCGAAAATAAGGTAAAAGCTCCCATTTTTCGGATAGCATGGATTTTCCCGAAAATTTGCATACAAGCTCATCTGACCCCCCACTTCAAAAGTTATATTGTCTAGATGTGTGGTTTTTTTCTATTTGAGGGTGAAAACTACCCTTATACGAAAAAATGCAAGAATCGCAGATTTTAAAGTATTTTAAAGATTCAATTCATGTTCAAATATGTTGGATAAAGTTACTTTCATGTTTTTTAATATAATTTATGAATTTTAATTACTTTTCAACCCTTAAAAATCCTTAAAAACTACCCTTCCGTGGCCAAAAAATAGAAAAAAGTTTTTAACAGTATAAAATATTCTTTTGGTGCATTCACAATGTATTGCATTTCTTTTGTTATTCATTAGAAAGCTTACGACTCATTACAAAGTTGCAACCCTTAAAACCATCCCATATAATAAAATAAACAAAAAAATATTGAAAGCTTGAGATGTTTTAATGGTATGCATATGTTGAATTATAAACATTTTATTAGTTTTCAAATGATCTATGATATATTGCAACTTTTCAGCCACCCAAAAAACCCTTATGGAAGACCTACCCCTCATAAAAAACCCTACCCCTTATAAAAAAATTTCCTAAAACTTATATGTGAGTATGATGATGTAATTAATTTTTTTTTTAATTTATTCTTAATATTTTTTTATTAAATTGATGGTAATTTACCCGCTCTGAAAATTTTACCGAAGAAATGCAATTCAGTTTTTTACCATAACTTTTGTAATTTTAGTTATAAATTTACTCAAAAAACCATTTTGTAGGGAATTTAAAGCAGTTTAAGTTTAAGCGTTTGTGACTTGCAGTTTTTTTGAGCCCTTCGTTTTTTAGATTTGTAAGCTAAAAGGGCTCAGGAAAGGCAGTCTTGGAGCTTAGTTTTGGGCTTCTAACGGTCATAACTTACTTAAATTTTGTCCTACAAATATTTAACAGAAAGCAAAATTGTTCAGTAAGAAAGAACCTACAATTTCTGATTCTATCATTTTTTTTATAACTTTGTTACTTTTTGAAATATTTTGAAAAAAAGGCGATTCTTTAAAAAAATTTTATTCAAAAGTAAATAAAATATTTTTTTAAATTTAGGCTTCTAAAATCGTTCAAATTCCCAGGATCCACCGTTAATACATAAATAAAGTAAATTGCAGAAGGAATTTAATTTAATTTTTTTTTCGTCAAGTCTAATTTTTAATACCGATTTTTTCTTCTCAAAAATCAAGACAATCATTTTATTTTGATTGTAACTTCATTAGTTTTCATGCTAACGACTTCTACCACCACTCAATTTAAAGGCCTTTTCAAGAACTTTAATAAGTGTTATATAAGTATTCTTCGAAAAACCTTTAAATTTTTCGCTACAGGACGTTAAGCGTTTCCTTTATAGCTATCTTTGAAATTAACTTCAAGTTCTGGGAGTCATAACTTGGGTTCTATACCATCTACAAAAATTAGAAAAAAGCAATCTCTTTCCTATTAATTACCTTCATTTTTGCTTATGATCATTTTTTTGATAAAACTTGTAGTTTTTGAGATAATCGCGAAAAATTACTCAAAAACATGCATTTTTTGGGCTAAAAACATGTTTAGGCGCAAATAACTCAAAGTATTGACTGTACAAAAAATTCTTATAGAACCTTTTTTGTTTAGTATTTGTCCCTCTATCGAATCGTGAGGTTATTTTTAATAAAAAAAAATTCCCACTCTCCAGAAGAGTAAAAGCACACATCGGCACTATATAACGTTTGTTTCCTGGGCTATTCCCTAGCCACAGTTCAAAGTTCACGTCAATCCATTCCATCCGAAAAAATTGGTAGCCAAAATGCTTCAGTGACGGGACTACCACAAATTTGCAAAAAAAATTGTTGAAAATTGAAAAAATTATAAAGCGGTTTCTAGATTGGATCAAGTGTGGTTCTCATAAATTTTATCGAGTTGATTTTGAATCTAGTCAGTTGAGCCTGATCAAAAAATCGCAAAAAAATGGAAATCGTGAATTCCAAAAAATAAATGTCATGGATGAATTACTTCCAAATAAATTCGACTGACTTTAGATTCACTTTGACTCGACAAAATGTATGACAACATTTGATCCAATCTAGAAAACCTCTGAATTTTCTCACTCCCATAAATAAGATGTATTGACATTTTCAGATATCTTTTTTTCCAAATCTGTGGGGGAATATAGTTGATAGACTTCAAACTTAAATTCAGCGTATCAAAATACATAAGAAACACACTAGACCATGGTCAAAAATGTTTTTTTATTTTTTTTGGCTCACTAACGTGATTTTTGGCGATTTTTCACTATTGTTGATTTTTTGCTATTATTTTGCGATTTTCACAAAATTGGGGGGCATGCATGCATATAAAAGACTTCAGATTTGGATTCAGAACATCAAAATACATAAGAATTCCACTTGATCGAGTATAGATACATTTTTTCGAATTTTTTTAAGCTAACGTGATTTTCGGCGCTTTTTCACTATTTTTTGTCATGTCTCAAAATTTTTGGGGTGTTTGAGCTAAACGGACTTCAGATTCAGATTCAGCACTTCAAAATATATAAAGCCTATCGGATCAAATCAAAGGTATAGACCACTTTCTTTATTTTGAGTGCCGGAATTATCGATGTCGACGGCAAGCGTTGTAAGCGGAGTTGCTACAGGAATAGATTAGCGACTTCATTTAGAGAGAAATAATGATAAAATTTTGATAAAAGCAATAACATCATACATGGTGCATTAATGAAGTAAACGATATAATAAAATTGAGGTAAGTAACCCAAAAGTGAATTTTGTTCGAAGTAAGTAAAAAAGAACTACCAATTTCGCTTTTATGTAGGTATATATTTAAAACTTTAACAAACCGCATATAAAATGAGGTCAATTTTTTTGGATTTTTATGAAAAGATAGAGGTTAAAAAATCCTTTGAAAACAAAAGAACCAACTGTCACTTTAAATAAAATTTTGACAGTTCAGTTAAATTTTCATTGACGTTAGTGTTTGAAAAATTAAAAATGCTATTATTGTTTGTGGAAAAGCTTCAAATTTATTAATTAATTAATTTGAGGTACATATATCTGGCTTTGCTTCTTGTGAAAATGGCATTTTTAAGTTTCTAAACACTACTCGTAATGTTGTAAATGAAAATTTAGCTGAACTGTCAAAATTTCGCTGGAAGTGATATTCGAATGTTTTTCCAAAGCACTCTTTGTAAAAGTTATTCATTTGCTATTTCAGTAAAAACAAAGTACACCATATCATTGAAATAAAAAAATGTGCTCAATTCTAAATTGCAAAAATTCCATGAGGTGCTCATAAGAAAAACAAAAGTTGCATTATTTCTATATTTTTTCCCTGACATTTCTCAATTTTTACGATTTCTACACCTGTAGCAACCCTGAAAAGTGAAAAAGTTAAATAAAATTTACCTTTTTATGGCTGATACGGAGTTAAGCGACGAATCAAAATCGAAACAGGATTTCCCTCTTCTAACCGGAGCGGGACTGCTGGTAAGCGGCAAACCCGTCCTAGAATGGAACACCATCGAAGCCGCATTGTCCAGATTCTTTCTGAACTTGGCTTGTTCCGAGGGACTCGGTACCCCCACCGTACCCTCCTTCGACCTTATCCCCGACGAGCTTCTATCGCAAGTTTCGGATGACGCCGAGCGGTCGACGTCGTCGAACGTAAGCTTCTGTCTGACTTTGGCCCTCCTGTCGGGCTTCAGTTTCGTGATATCGACGTTAGAAAGATCTCTGATCTGCTTCCGGGTTATTGGAATAGGACTATCACAATGATTATCTACATATATATTAAAATTATTCCTCTTCTTAATACTAAAAATATCACTTTCGCTCTTATCACAATTAGCATTATCACTTTCACTCTTTTTTGCACATGTGTCGTATCCTGTCGTCCCGTTTGTACTATTTCGCCCGCAACGCTCTATCGCGTCCAACAGCAGCTGGCCCTTGTCCAGCTTCTTACTGAGATCATTCTTGTTATGGCGGTTGCCAAAACCCTCGTGCCACCCGTCCAGCTTCGCGCTCTTCTGCTTCTGCTCAAGGTTGGGGCTGATGTTGCGTTTCTCGTTTTTCTGGTCGTTCTTCGAGAGATTGAATATGTTGTACTTCTCGACGTTAACCTTCAGCTTGGGGTGTTTCGAGGTGGACGCCTCGCACGCGTTGTTTTTGGCGCATTTCGCGTTGTTCTGGCACAAGCGTTTTATGTTGGCCAGTTTGTTCTCTATCTTGACGTCGTACTCCTCGAAATCCTCGCAGCGGTGCTTGCCCTTCAGCGTGCAAGACGTGTGCATCCTGTCGTCGACTAAGCCATTCTTCAGATCCATGGGATTGTCTTTGGACGAACAATTTGAACAAATTATGTTAGGAATGTTGGCGGTTCGAGGTAAACTGAAGAAGGAAACATTTAACGTGAGACCGTTGCCGATGTCGGTTGAGGGGAATTCGTGTTTAGTTGCCGATAATTGAAACTTTGTAAAGGTTTTACCTGGTACGGTTACGAGGTAACGGAAGTTGTCTTCGGTGATGTTGATGGACGAGTTCTCGTCTTGCGTCGAGAGCCAGGCGGTTATTTGGGAGAAATATAACTGGGAGCGAATCGCGCTCACTAACTGATTCAGGTTGAAAAATAACGGTTCGAGACTTCTGCAATAGGGAAACGTTCAGTGCACCCAGCAAAAAACATTTTAACAAATAATTACCTTTTAATACTTATGTTGAAATGCCACTGTTCCAAGACAAAAGTATTGTCCGATGTATGGGCCACGACACCGTTAAGCTTGGTGCAGGCACATGTCAAGAGAACCTCAATGCACAATGGTAAACTCTTCTGATACAGGTTTAAGACAGTTTTACGGTCATTCTCGAATTTCAAACACTGAAAAGCAAAGATGAAAAAATATTAGTACAAGACGAGGTAAATATTTACTTCAATGTATCCGGTTTTGCTCAAAATGTATTTCCAGAAGTTTTAACTAACTTTCCTTTCATACAACCGTGCAAAAATATTATTACTATTTCACAAAGTAAATAACAGACTATGAATATAATGTTAAACAATTACTGCCTCATTATGAACAAATCAGGTAATATATCATACTCCCTTTGACTTATATGTTTACTTACAGGTCACATTAAGGAAGGTAAATATTTTTCTTAAATATTTACCAAAGAACAAATATTTTTGATAGAGCTGTTGACACAACAGCATTTTTATTGGTAAACATAATTTAATTCTTATACATACGTGGTGATTCATGATATTATGAAGAAATTCAGGTCAAAATTCCTGGCCAAATGAATTAGAGAAAAAGCTCCTATAAACATCGCACGAAAATGCTTCGTCTTTGAGACACAAGATGTTGAAATTTGAAAAAATCATATTTTCTTAAATAGACCTGAAAATGACAGTGAAACATAACCTACAAAGTGTGTTGTCACTGCTACTCAATGCCTACTAGCGCAAAGCATTGCTTTGTACCTACTGACAGAGGCTGTGTTGGCATGTGTTAATTTTCGAACATATTCAGGAAATCCACCAAAATTCTGAACAATTATAAACATTAAAATACTTTATCATTAGAAAATACGGTGAATTTTCAAACAATTTACTACGAATACTACATTTTAAAATGCATGATTATTAATATTAATGACAGCAAGTGCTTTTGTTTCGCTACTAAAGCATGACTACTTGATTTTAAGAATTCTTCGATTTTTACCTTCTGCATTTTTTAACATATAATTGTGACTCCTGTAGAGTGAATTTCTGAATTACATTAGCACGAAAAAACGTAACCATAAAAAATCAATTAAATCAAACAAACGTGGATGCACTTACCAGAGAATTATTCAAATCGCATCTGTGGCCCTTGCTTGTCCCTTTGATGAGCGTACAATGTGGGCCTTCGTAGAATTTCTTGGATTTCGCTTTCAAATTGCCGGGAATCCGACTTTCCGTAATCAAAGTAGCTACAGACACCAGAACATCACCCCCGTCTTTATTGTTTGTTTTTGTGTCGAAACTTAAACTATGCATCTGTAAAAAAAAAACAGGACTATCGTCAAATAATTGTATTCCCGTTTTCTGAGACTATTATTAAACATCGTTAAATGGGAAAAAATATTAAAAGAAAAACTGTTTGCAGTGTTAACTTTGTCGCCCACACTGTCATAATAAAGTTATTCTGTAATATGTAATATTATAAATTAAACAATCCAATTAAATAACTTATTTTAGACTTAGATACCACGATTGAAGTTGTCGGTAATATAGGATTCAAAACGCAAATATTCTGGACGAAAATGAGTACAGTTTACTCAATTAGTAAAAACAAGGAAGTGGCAGTCAGATATCAGCAACTGACAAGAAAAGTCAGATAAAATAAAGAAACCACAATAATATTGTTTCCTAGCCATGTTATCTATTATAGTGTTCCTCAAATTATTATTTTTAAATTAAATAGTCGATTCGTTTTTAAACTGCGTTTAATCTCTTGTCTACGCCGTTACTGGGCAGCTCCCGAATTCCGTTGTATGTGCGTGCTTATCATTATTGTTGTTGTTATACTTTCAATTCATAGTTTTCAGTTTATTGGTTTACGAAAACATGTTTGTAGTAGAAAGTTATGAAATTATCATCGGAATTTCAAAACTTTCTGCGAAATATATTAGTTTTTCGGTACGGTGTTTGTGTATCTTCATTGTTATGTGTGGTATTATGAAAAAATGTATACAAATCAAGAGTTGATATTTGACAATGAAATTACGAAAAAATAGGTTAAAAAAAGTTCCTTTTTACAACGGAATTTGAGAAAACAAACTTATGGCCATATACAAGTATGTTTTTAAATTTCAAAGGTTAGCTAATAGCTATCGTATAATTTTGACCCCCATTCAAAATTACAGCTTGCAAATAAAAACTAAAAAACAGTCGAATAAATCAATTGAATGAAAACGAAAACAATAAATAATGTAGATAATACTATAAATAAATTGTAAAAATTGCCACCCGATGTGTTGATACGTAGGCAAGAATATTCAAGAACAAAATTACAACTAGCTAAATAAAATTTATTGACAAATAAAAGTCAAATAACAAGATAAAGAAACGCCAAGAAATTTAATAAAAGTAAAGAGTAAAACTCTGTAGTAAATATGTATATTTAATAAGAATAAAGTAATAATAATTATAGCACACAATTAACTTTCATTTCACTAACCTTAGTAGATTATGCAATTTAACAGCTAGATTTCCTGTTTCCTATTATACTGTGCAATTCTGCAAATTATTACACTACGGTTGTATTCTAAAACTAGACTGATCCCTTACTCGGTACCTTTTTGCAATAAGTTGATTTCTAAGAAGGAAATTACTGCATACAGTCTCACTGAACTGTATTATATTAAAAATAATAATACCATATCATCTTTCTGCCATAAGACTGATCAATAATAGTTAAACTACCTGCAAATCAAGGGTTTTCACTAATAAATGCATAAATCAATTAAGAACCGATAATCCGTCTGCAGTACTGTGTAAATGTCTGGGTTTATGGGCACGTAAATAATAACTAGATACATCTTTAGGTCTTCACTAAAGGATTAGCAGGTATACGTGATTTATCAAGGGTCAATATAACTTTTATCACTGAATTTCAATGAGCACAAACAACTTCTATTTATAACTTAGATGATGATCGATGAATGAGTTTTTCTAATGAAATAAAAAGAAAGTTTACAATATTTTGTGTTAATTTGTTAACCAATTGCAATTTGCACCTATACTATATATAATATTGAGTCAACATGTCTCAATATTTTGTTAAAAGTAATATTTTTAATTAGTAAATATACAGTCCACTTCATCAAGTTTGTTTTAATAAAGTGAATCAAGTTTTTATGCTATCATAGTGGTAGTACAGTGTTTTTAAGCCATCATAGTGGCAGTACAGTAAGCGAAACTGTACATCCAGGATACACAATTTTGGAAAACATTTGTATAGTTTCATCTGGTACATATCAGGAATTACCAGCGAATACAGTTCATGCCTCAACAATTTATCATGCTGTCTGTTGTCGACAGTAGACGTTGAACGATCATTTTCCCTACACAAGTTAATATTAAGTCTCTTAAGCCTTGTCTCAACGCTAAGGTTTATCGGGTAAGTGGTGTCATTTTTTATATAGGTATTTTATCGTCTACTTAGTATTGCTCTTTGGTAATAGTACTATGTTGCGACATATTTTCTGTAAACATATTAATATTTTCATCCGTAATCTGACTACGGTCCTGTTAAACTCCGCGCCTCACTAAGCCTACCAATACGTTACAAAAATAAATACTAAAAGGAGTTAACTTATTAGCGATATTCGTTGTACAGTTCGTATTAACTTTCATAGCTGAATAATATTTAGCAACAATTCACCTCATTTAACCGTCAGTAAAACTAAATCACGCGACATTTTTTTTTTTCAAGAGGAAGGGCTTGAACAACCTTCATCCAGGGGTCAAGGGCTTTCATTAAGTAAATTGATCTTGTGCTCGAGCCCAAACGTGCAGCATATGTCAGATGGGTCTAAAGCAGCTGATTGTTATCCCCCCCCCCCCTAAGGTAAACTCCCTGACGTCAATACATTCCGAGCTACCCATTGGACGGGGAGTCCTATTTTTTAAGTGTTGATGTTGCCACATTCACAGCTGATCAGGCGTGCAACTGCGCTCTGTTGCCGGTTGTTTTTTTTTCTCGCTAGGGCGTGGAAATTCGCTTACGCGGAAAATTATGTTCGACAGAATGAAATCAATGTCATTCCAATCTATTGGTGTAATGATATATCATTGTTTTATACGTGGCAAATTGTAAAAATTAAATCGAATGTGTTGTAAGTTCTCGAATTAACGATTAGTGGTCCAAAGTCCACAGGAACGAATCTACACATGCGTTATAATTGTTTCTAAATTATCTAAATTACGTAATTACGAATAATAACTCGTGTCAAAAGAATTCAAAACGAGATAAAAGTACCAAAGTTAAATATTGTAATATTCAAAATCTCCCACATACCGACTGTGTCATCTATTCATTAACATTTGCATTCTAGTTGATCAATCAAGTAATTCGGTGATTAATAAAAAATGGACAGGATGATCGCGCTGACTAAATCTGGCATCGTAGCACACGAATTAGTATGAATCAAGGTTACCTTTACACGTGTTCAGAGTTTTATTCGATTTCAACTTAGAAAATCTTTTGCCAAGGAAAACTGGCAAGATGTTTTGATAAATTATTATTATCTTAGGCTCTGAACTGGTGAAAATTAAGCACCTGCTTAATTTTAAAGATAATATAAAAACAATACAAGCAACTTAACATATATCTCTACTCATACAATTGACAGAAAAATTAAATGAATTAATATTCAAATACTTGCGGTGATATAGGTATCTATATGGAATTATCTAATAATTGGAAGTTATCAGTGGTGTTAAGTATACTTAACAGATAGGTATTTTTTGGCGAATTAGTAGCTACAACCTTGGAATTTTTAATAAATTTATGTATTTAACCGACTGGCTTGCTTAATTTAAAAATATATTCCATTCCCGTTGCATATGGGCGAAGCATAGATGGCAGTTCCGTCTGTAAACAATCACCAAGGCTGGGTATATTAATTAATACACGTGTGTTAACTTTACAAGTGGAATAAAACACTATATCAATATAGTTTTAAGGAAAATATTTGAAACGACAACTTGGTGCAGATAAAACCTAGAACTTTTCTACAATGCTCAATTTAAAAAATGTTTGTATTTTTTATCCTGAAAATACACTAAATGTAAACAATTAAAGGATCAAAAGAATTTCCGAAATTTTTCCGTGATTTTTGACAGACTGTATTTAAGTGAAAAATGGTCGTATCGAGAATTAAAAAAAAGAATTTTGAAGCTCTAAGGTTCTAGTTTTTAGATCTTTCGAACGAAAATTTTTAGGAGCTACGGTTATCATGTAATTCTAATAGCGCGACAAAAAATTGTGCAAATTTTTTTATTTTTTTTCCGAGTTTATGGACTTGGAAAAATTTGTTTCAGCTAAGCCATTGCATGGACCAGATAGGTTGTTTATTCAGCTTTAATATCCTTATTTTTTAATTTCGATACTACTATTATTCATCGAAATATCGGACTTTTAATGGTAAAGGATTTTTTTGTCTTCAATCATGATATTTCGGTGACAAATGGTTCTACAGAGAATTGAAGAGCAGTTTCGAAAACTGTAATAAATGTCCTAAGAAAAAAAAAACGAAGTTAACTTTAATCTAAATCTAAAAATAAAGTATGTTAAAAAAATCTGTTAGACAATGACACCTAAACAAAACAATAGACCACAATTACCTTGTATGTGCATGGAACAACAAAGTCTAAATAAAACCCTCAATAATTGATATTGCGATGACAATATTGATCCGGCAAAAGGTCAAGTGGACGAGGAGGATAGAATGGCTTCAAATCAATCTATTTTCGTTTCATTAGAACTTGTATCAACTGTTCTAAATCCGTTTGAATCGCTATGGTTCTGTAACTTCCTCTTTCACATTAAGAAAATCGAGATTATGCTGCGACGTGGTTTAAATTAAAAGCGATAGTGCCTTTAAGATTATTAAAAAATTAAGTGGGAATACATTTTTCACTGGCAAGCCAATAAGGAAAATAACATGAAATGTGTTGAAATAAGCATCTAGAGAAGAGGTCAATGAACTGATCGTTCAGGGAAAAGAACAATTTCTCCTTTCGTCCCCTCATGTGAGGGTCTACGTTCATATAGATTAATGCTCCATCCTTTTTCTCCCTAATTTCGCGTGTGTAATTCTACCAAAGCTAATATGCTGCGATATCGAGATTTATACACAAATATAATTACTTCGTCGAGGAAATTCGTCCAAATCGAAACACTAACATGACAGGATATTTCTAATAATAAGGAGAACGCCAGTACCGGTGATTTTTTTCCAAAATAATTACCCTTCCATTAAACCCGCCCC